GCATGTTTTAGATGTTTCCCTCTTCCAACACACCTGATTCAAATGATCAGCTCATCATCAAGCTCTGCAGAAGCCTGATAACGATCCTGATCATGTGGACCAGGATTGGGCACCCCTAGTTTAGAGCGAGGAAACACAGGTATGCTCTTGGTGGAGGTCTGATATTAAGGGGCGTCTCTCAAGCTGCATATCTTAATTGATTTTCTGACTCAGGCAGGTTAGGAGACATGTTAGCACAAAGGAAAGCAAAGGAAGTCATCTGGGATTCTAAAAAAATATGACTGTAAAAATAGTTGGTAGATTGATTAATATTCAAATAATCTTAAGTTGCAGCGGTCAGGCAGCTTCTAGTTTTAACATCTTAACTTTCACTTAAAGCATTTTCAGGGACTTAACTGACCGAGTCTATCAGTGTTTCTCAAGAGGCAGATGTTCAAAAATTGGAACACAGTCACAAAAAAATTCTTGTCATACATTTTCTACTGTGACACCTCAGATTAATCTCTTCGGACCAAGGATATTTTTAACAAAAATTGCAGCGGAAAAAACTAAATTTAGTCAACAGCTGCAAAACCAGAAGGCCAAAATGAAAAACCTTGGTCTGTATGAATACGACAGACTCAGGAGAGTTTTTTTCTAAAATTACAAGTCTCGCCAGAAGGCCGGTGTCGGATCTAAAACAAAACTCCAGTGAACATTTTTACTTCTGCTTTATCAAAACTTTAAATTGGATGGTAAACAATGGTATGACGATGAGTCAGTGACACTGAGGTTATGTAAACCTGTTCAAAAAATTCTCAGCAGCAACAGAAATGAAGCACAACAACTGACGGCCTCTTGGGAAACCTTTAAAAAATGTTTTGTATAATAGATATGGTTCAAGTGCAGATACATCTAGGAGGTGGAATACTTTGATGGATCTCAAGCCTCTGATAAATAGTCCAGATTCTGTCCGAACATAGAAAAAAAATAAACTATCAGCAAAACAGAAAGATGCCACATTAAGAATTTGCTTCCTACAGCAACATACCCTCTAAAGTTGGCAAATTCAGAGCCAAAAAAAAACACACACACACACATAAAAGAAGCATGAAAATCTTTAAAAACATCTGCGTAAAGAGTTAATACTATATCCCTGATGGTGAAAATTGCGACCATGAAATAACTTGGGTAAGTGTTCTTCTCCCAAGACAACAAAACTGCGAGCCGAGAACGGAATTACTTTTGCATATTGTGTCTAAAACACCACGAGGCAGCCACGATGAGCGCGTGACCGCATCGCACGCTTCCGCTCCTCCGCCGTCCCCGACACGCGTGCTGACGCAGCCGTACGGCCGCGATAAATAACTTTTAAAGAAGTGCAGTCAGTGAACAGATTGAGAGGGCCAGGTTTTCCACTCCATCAACCGGCCCTGTGCACCGAGACGAAAAAACACAATATGCTGCACTCCCCCCACCCCCCGACAAAAAATCCGATCGCTCATCAAAATGTTTTTCTAAGCAATTACACCATGCTGCCATTATATCTGCTGACACTTAATTGGATGTAGTGGAGTATACAGTTGATCAGTGAGGTTGCATTGTTCGTGCTACAGGGGGCACGCACAAAGACCCACTTGACATGCACGAGCGGGCGAGCCTCTTTCAGGCCGAGCGCGATGAAAATCTGTAAAATTTAATACAGTGCTGACGAGTAGTTTAAACTCTTGACCTGGTTTTCCAGCGAGAGGCTTCCAACAAATATCATTTCTACCTCTGGAGATGAGTAAGTGCAGCCCTGTCAGACTGGCACCATGTGTTTTCCGCGGGTTCACTCCTGTCCTGGGGTTTGGTGGTCTGGTAATGGGCCCCTGGCTGCACAGACTGATGTGTGTGCGTTCATGTGCTCGATAATGGGGCCTGCTGGAGGTCCGCGGAGGATCCATCTCTGGCTGTGCCGTGATGGGCAGCTCGGTACTTCGCTCCAGGCCTCCTCCGTTGCCATGGCGCGCGCGCACACCGCAGACAGACGTGGCGACACGCGCGCACCCTCGCCACGCACCAATCTGATTGACGGAGCATGCTGAGTGCCAAGCTGTCACTCACACTTTGGTATCCGGAGTTGTTTCCTCTCACTCTTTCCATTTCGCGCACACACAGGCAGACCACACGCACGCACACACAAGAGCAGCAGCGTTCTCGGTAGTTGTCACACGGAAGAAGACATCACACCTGCAACAAAGCTGGGAGCTTAGCACGGTTGCCGGTGACAAGCTTACACAAAAAGATAGGTGTTGGTAGAAGACCGGCGTCAGTGCACCAATGTTCCAAAACAACTTTTTAGCCTCATTAGGAGCTCGCTCAGCGCTTAGTTAACCTTTCCTGGACCTCCTCTGCTTCTGCAGACTGGTATTAACTACTAAGAGGCTCATTAACAACAAATCTGAGCTTGGAGACAAAGAAGAGTAATGAGTTTATGTGTAGATAAACACAAGAAAGCTCTTTGAGGTCAGAGATATTAAAACATTTCTTCCAACACATCTCGGTTGGGGGATGCTGAAGGGAACGTTCAGTCCGGCACGTAGAGGCGTCGTCACGTTGACAGTAAAGGAAGAAAACCGAACAAACACGGTTGGATCTTTGAAATTTAAATTCATGACAAAAACGAGTAGCAAAGCTGAATACATCCGTCCGGTTTTGCATATTTTCAACAAGCGGGCTACATTCTCCCAGAGCTTGAATTCAAACGCAGCGGATGACAGTTGGCATCTACCAGGTGAACGTTTAGCTAATACGATGAATGCCCTCCAGCTCGTCCCATTTTGGGCCCTCTTTGGGACAGCTGTGACATAAAAACCACAAAATCAGCAGCTCCGGAGCAGTTAACGGCTCCATTGAACAGTAATGCAAAGCTATCCGGTCTTATGGTTGACATGGAGCCAGATATAAAAAAAAAAAAAAACACACCCCGAGCTGGCAAGTTAGACGTTAGAAGGATAAAGGTCCCGAGGCTGTCGCTAAGCAAGGTCAGGCTGTCTCAGGGAAAGAAAGGGAAACTTTAAAAGAAAAGTGTAAAAACTTAAACCAAACAGATGAAGCTACCGGCAGAAAGAGAACCAACCTTTTGTGGTGATCTGGACGTGGGGACCGGAGACTGCGACCTCATGTTTTTAGCCGAGGAGCCTGCTGACAGCGAGAAAGAAAGAAAAAAAGGAGAACAAATTCAAATTAGGGGAGTGTTTTCCTCCCCTCACCATGATGACACGGCATGAGTCATGCAAACCTACACACATGGAGCGAAGAGAGAGGGGCCAGTGGCTTAAAGCATCAATGAATCAAATAAGCGCTGATGTTCTGCTGGTCCTTCAGACCGCCTTAAGCTGTTTCTACATCCAACAGCTGTTACTGCTCTATGCAGTGAGGGCAGAAAAAGAGGAGGGGGAGAAAAAAAAAACAAAACACTCCATCTGCTTATTATGCTGCTGGGCAGTGCAATACATCAGAAAACACTGGGGAATAAGTCAAGTCTGTTGCATCTGTAAATAAGTAAATAACTAAAAACACAGTTTGAGTTGATGGTGAAGAAAACTGTTGTTGAAATGTAATGACATGCATGTCTCAAGGGGACGAAACAGAAAAAAAAAATCAGGGAATTGACAAGAATTTCAATTGGCATTAACTTCAAATTCCACAGAGATTTTCAAAACTTGTTCTCAGCTGAATCTCATAACAGGAAATATCAGCGGTTAGTGCAGATAATGCTGCTGCCGTCTTGCATGTGGATGATATTAAGAGCTGAAAGCCAGGAGACAGCGCCTCAGACAGGAGGGGGAAAACAAGGTTTTAGTCAGAAGAGGTGGTGAAGAGAGCACCAGGTGTCAAAAGCCAGACGGGGAAAATTAGTACGAGCTCTTCAGTGGAGGATTCGCCGCGAGATCGGCCGGTTTACCTGAGTACGGCGGCCTAGGAGGGACGGGAGGGCATAGCAATTTGCCGACAGAGTCAGAGAAGGATGGCGCGCCCTCTTTGACACTGTCTAGGCTCCAACTACTGGGAGTGGGTCTCACTTCACAGCACACAGAAACATCACAAGGCACATGTCAGGTCACGGGATTCACAAAGAACAACATGAGAACACACTTTAAATGGATGGCAGGACGACAGACGACATATTGAGTGCGAGCATGTGACTGTCAAAGACCCTTAAAGCTTCGTTTTTTCATTCGGCTCCTTGTGATGGGATGCAACGTGAGCCCTTTCTGCTGGAACACTTATTATAAATGACATATATCTGTGTTTACATTTGTTTTTTATGAGTGTTGTTCTGCCAAGAATTGAAATGAGCACAACTAAATTAAAAAAATAATACGATATGAGTTGTCAGAAACTGATGATATTTGCTTGGTTGTTTGTTGCTCGCTGTCAGTCAAATCAGATTAAAACACTCCCAAACTGATGAGGCACATTTTTAAATTGCAAAATTATACTTAAAGATGCTTTTTTTTTTAATGTCACAATATTAACTTTGCAGAGCCAAGTTTTTAGAAAACGAAATTCTACAAGACCAGTTTAAAATCACATTTTTAGTCGGCTGTCTTGTTCTGTTCTGATATTTTCCTGCAATTTTCTTTATCCACAGTCGGACCAGGAGGAGAAAGCAACTCAGGGACCTGCCACACTGCACCTCCAGTGGCATTGTGTGTGTGTGAGTGTGTGTGTGTGTGTGTGTGTGTGTGTGTGTGTGTGTGTGTGTTGTCAGCTTGTTGTGGGTCAAAGTTCCTTTTTGTTCAATTTGGACCACAAAATGTGGCAGAAAATCTGAGCAGTGTTTGGCACGAAGGCTCACATAAGTAGCTCAGGAGAGAGCAGCACAGCGGCTCTTGGTGTTTTCATAACAAAAATAAGCCATTTCTGTCTTTTTCCTGATTTAATTTGACAAGTGATGCACAAAATTTTAATTACTGTTCATTTTATTGTTCTTTTATTCAGCTAAAATTAAAGATATTTCAGCCTAATGAACTTTTAATCTAATTTTTTTTTCAGTATATTTACTTTTTATGTCCTCCAAGTATTCTGAAAAATGTTTTCTTTTAAATTACTGGCAGTATTTCCTCAAGTACATTCTTTCAACAAGCTCTGTATTGATCGCTAGTGACGCTGGTCCTGACATTTTTGGGTCTATTATCTAACTGAGTGTGTAGTTGTAAAATTTTTGATCAGTTTAAGTTGTTTTATTTGATGTAGAATTGAAAAATGAGTATGCAAACAGTCGTGTGCCCTAATTCATTATAGGCTCTTTTTTGTTTTTTNCCAAGCCCTAAACCCAACAGGAAGTCCGTTATTTTGAAAAAACACGGTGACAATTTTGCAGATTCTTACGAGACGTGCTGTGTCTGTGCTCCAATTGGCCTGCCACTAAACAGGAAGTGGCTCGTAACTAGGCCGCACTTGCTCCGATCTGCCCCAAACTCGACATGCCGGATCACAGTCCCGTCCATCGCCGCTTGCGGCTTTAATTTTGTTTTATTTTGGTGTTGTCTGCATCACTGCTTTTCATTCAAGCACTTTAAAAACCTGCAATAAAAGCACAATTAATAGATTTTGTTCCCCCCCCCCCCCATGCTACTACATTTCTTCAGGATCTTTAAGCCTCCATAAAAGTCCTGGTCCAACATTAAAAGCCAAAGCAATACCCACAAACATACTGTAGGCGAAAAAAATTCAAAGACTTTTGATTCTCGTCTACACTCCTCCCTTAGCATGTGTGCTCCTCATCCAGTGACAGTTGTCCTCCTTGGGCTGGCCATTAGAAAGATGGATCAAGGCTGGCACATGAATGGATCTGAATGCTAAGTACAAAGCTTATAGAGCAACCGAGTCCAATTAATTACAAAAGCCTGTTTTGCGTGGCTCTGCTCGTTATCAGTCTCATATCTGTCTTAGTGACTAATGTTCCCCCTTGAAAAACCCAGCAACTAGTTAACTGATTGCTGCAGGCCAATGTTTATGAACAAGTAAACAATGAAGAATGGACTCACATCTCCTCTGTACAGCTAATTAGCAGGCACAAAATGGCCAGAACTTTTTTTGGTGCGCGAAGCGTTCAGGGACAGTCATCTGCTGCTGGTTACTTTCAAGAGGCAGTCAGATTGCTTCAATCAACATCCCTTCTGTCTTTGATTTGATGCCAGTTTTTATCTGCTCTACTTGTTGTTGCCGGTGGTTGTGTGGATGGAAGTGGAACACCTTCATATGAAAATGTGTTGTCTGTTCAAAGAAGCTAGTGCTTGCCCATTCTGCTGGGAAGGTGCAAATATGATAATATGCTGATGCATTATGACAATGTATTAGTTGTGCTATAGTCTTAAAAGGAAGTGAAAACACCCATCTTTGCTAACAACATGCCCACGTGCACGCAGCGTATGACCAGAAAAAAAAAAGCCGAGAACTTATTTTGAGGTTAGCAACGTGTTCCTTTCCCACCAGGCGATGTAAGGAAGAAAGAAAAGGAGCCGAGCTAATATAGGTTGACTTATTCAACCCCTTGAAAAGCAGCTGATGAGTCAGCAGCGAGTTGCGGGTGCCACACAGTAGGGTAGTGGTGAGAAATGAAAGTGTCTGCTGCCAGAATAGTGGGGAATCAATGGAGATGAGGAGAACGAATAAGAAGACAGAAAAGAATGAAGGTGAACTCAGGGTGAAGGGGGGAAAAAAAAAAGTGCAGGAGGAAGAAGTGGCACGACAGACTGGGATCAGAGCGAGCGCTGACAGGAAGGCAGGGCGGCAGGGCGAGAAGGCAGTAATGTGAACTAACAGAGAGTCAATAACTGCTTTTACATGGTGAAGATGGGAAACAAATGTCGAAATAAAAGGGAACAAAATGTCCCAGGCCCAGATATGGTAGCAGAGGAAGACGAGAAGGAGAGAGTGAAGGGAGACAAGAGACACTGACGTTTGGTGGGGTTAATCATTGAGCGTGTCGGGGGAAGAAGAGAGTCTTGTTGGAGTGACAGGTCTGCTGAGCTAAAACCCTCATCAGGCTTGCCGTCCTGCCCCGCAGACGTCAAAGCATCAGCTCCAGAAGGGGAGAAGGAAGACGCCCGGCGAATGTTAACCGCTCAAGGCTGTCTTTGAAATGGCCAACGCATAACTGCAAGTTCAACTTCTTTCCCCTGAGTTAATATCTATGATAATCACAAGGGCGAGAGCGGCGTGATCGCAAAGTCCCATCTTTCTCTGCGAGGATTTAAGTCTGCTGCCTTTATTGTGTTACCTGTGTAAGCACATTAAAATGGCCTGTATGCTGCTGCCCTTGTTGCAGAAATCCAAACTCTCTCCTTTATACAATGCTGTTTATGAAAGTCGTGTTTCTTGCTTAGCATAAAAGATTTTCTTGATAAACTGAGTAGCGGTTGTACACTGACTGACTCGTATCCGTGGCTCCAGTTCATTTTATAATCCACTAACGTCATCAAATCATGTTAGCTGCTCATAATTTATGTCTGATGTTTTTGCTGTCCCCGTTTGACCGTCCAGAGATAAACAGTCCACTCTTTGTTCAGACTGAAGAGTGACCCACATCACTGGCAATAAATCGAATTAACCTGCACAAAAACAGCCCAAATTAGCTCATTAGATCCTGGACACACCAATTTCACAATCAGCACTGCTCTGCTTTGGGTTGTGTAAATAGTGGTTGTGTCCGACCAACATCTCTAATTTGATTGAAAAAATATACACATTTCCTTTTAGCTGTGTGGACACCCACTGCTCAGGCTCACGTGAAAACTTTTAAACACTCTGTCCACAGAAAATTAAGTCTATTTACCCTGTTACCATGTCCATATGGTGCTTTTTATGTGCATGAAGAGTGAAATAAGCTGAAAGAGTCTCAGTTTTGCCCATCAGAGTTTATGGAGTTTCATACATAAGTAACTAGTGAATAACAAATCATGGCCACTTGCAGGATGGGACTTTATTTACCATTGTTCTTCTTTAGAATCACTTTCCAATTAGAAAGTGTAGAGCATGGGACTATTTTAATGAAAGAACCCTCTGAATTTGTGACTTTGATACACAGAGATGAACTTTTACAGGTTAAAGCAACAACCGGAGAGAGACTTTAAGTTTGGTCGACATTTGTCAGCTGTTGTTCAGGAGAACGAATGCTGTTTGTTAATTTGGCAGCCATCTCAAAAACACTTTTTTCCATCAGTGATATCTCCCGCGTGTCTTTGTTGTTTCCTCTTTCTTGTCTAACACGCCACACTAGTGCAAAACGTCCTATTTCTCAGTAGCAACCTTTAAATAAAACCCATTTTCAAACTGAGCATACAAAACGACAGAATTGGCATTTTTTAGATAACAAAATATAGACACCTGACTATCTTCTTGTAGGCTCAAATTGTACAGAAGTGTTACAAAGCAAAGAAAAAACCCTTGACACTCTAAAGCGAAGGAATCAACCCTCCAGAGTTGGAGGATGGTGGCATGTCGCCATTCAACACCTTACAAAGACCCTTTATACTGTTTTTCTGTATCATGTCTGTATATTGATTTTGATTCATGCATTGTGTTCAAATGTATCTTGGCCACGCAAAGCAGTTCATCTGTGGGTTTTCGGCATGGAGGTTGGTTGGTGTGTCAACGCCCACAGTGTGTAAGTGTTTGCTGTCCAACCAGTTTCAAATGGAAGGCGAGCCTCTATACCCTGCAAAATTGATTTGCTGGATTTAACAGCATATGAATGCCATAAAAGCCTTTTATGCCGTCTGGGAGAGAAAACAAGATATAGATGAATGCAATTACAATCCTGGAGTGTGGAAACGCTTTCCCGACCAATCGTGTTGGACTGGAAAACCGTCACAGAAACTCAGATGAAGTTCACATTTGTTCATCATTCATATAAGAAGTGTTTTGTAGACATGTATAGTGGAAATAATTTCAGGGAAAATATTATCCAGTCAAAGAATACAAACTTCAAAAACAATTTTCTGCCCAGTGTAACTTTAAAGTGGCAGTGTGTGATATCTTTCAGCAGAGAAACTTCAACAAGTCCACTGTACCTCACGTACTTCAAAGCTCCTGCTGTAGCTGAAACGTGTTTTAGAGCAGGTTTGATATGAAAGTAACTCCAACTTATGACTTTAAATATAGAAATTGAATCTCTGCTTGTCTTTACCCTTTTGAAGCCAGGAAGTGAGAGAGCGCGAGGTGGAAAATGTCAAGTCTGTGTAACTGGCTCCATTGACATTCTCAGGAGACAAATTGGAGGATTTTACACTTCAAAACTGCCCGTCCTGCTCCATTTAATGCCAAAGGAGATCTCTGCAGCACTTTCTCACTTGTGGACGAGGTGCAGACCAGTAGGGGGCACACTTACTTTGTTGCAGCCCATGCATCGTGCCATGCTTAGCACGTGTAGAGTAATTGTGAATCATTAATGCATGCAAGCATACGTGTGTGAGAGTTTGATGTGTGAACAAAAGCAAAAGCAGTGAAGACAAGAGGGAGAAACAGACAAACAGAATACATACTGCAGACAATATTCTCCTGTTGGGCAGAAGGAAACCACTGATCATGCCTCATAAATTTAGTTTAAATGTGGATATCAGGCTCATACTTACAGTAATCTGAGGTGGGGATGATCGCTGAATGGCTAATGGATGGAGGGGAAGTCTTATTAGGTGGTCTAAACGGCAGCCTCGTTGTGCTGGTGACCACTGGTGGAAACTCCCCATTAGCTGGAAGAGAACACAAAGCAGTTATTGAAAAGGCTGTGCTTTATTTCTTTCATGTGCAGACATCCTGTTGCTGCTACACTGAAGCACAGTAGCTGCAGACTCCTCGCTGGCACAGAAAATGCGGAGCCACCAGCAGGGGTCGTTCTTTTATTTGTACCACCATTGGCCATACAGAGCCGGTGAAATGCATAACATCCAGCTCCACTCCATCTCTTCCTGTCGCTGTCTGCTCCTACAGTAGATCGGTAAGCACATTCAGCCTGGGTGTTTTGTGGCAATCCATCAAGCCTCCTGCCTCACCACTTTCCCAGGGCTGAGATCATAAGCCCGTTGGTACCTTGATCTCTTCCGCCTCAAATTCTAACCCAGAATTAAATCTTCCAGGCAAAAGGCTGGCTGATTGGCTATTAGGGCTCAAGACAGAGGAGCTCTTATTTCCCAAAGATGTTAAAGTAAGGTAAGACTAATTGTATCAACTAAAATGGCTGACTTAAAAGAAAAACAAAACAGCCACATGTCCCCATTTTCTACTTGTTTTGAACAGAGTTGGTATGGTTGCTTGGCTGAATTGCTGCACAGACAAATCACTTTTTTTTTGATTTGGTCCCTGCACTGCAATCAGGGGTATAAAAGGCTTGAATGGTGTTAAAGAAATCTGCAGCCATATCTGGTCAGACACTGCAGGAGGTATAGGAGCAATCAGTGCAGGCCTGTCAACTGTACACAACAAAGTTCTTTACCAGTATTTGTTTGATGTAATGAAGTTGGAATGACAAAATCAATGCCCGACAGCAGTCTTACAAAACCCTATAGACGAAAATCTAAAATTCTAATAATTCATCCTTGATGTCATTGCAGAGCTTGTACGACTTCACCTTGAGTGACATGGACATGAAATGTTAACACTTGTTTCACTCCTTTCCAGCAAAGGTTTCACTGATTCCAACAGACCAGCAACAACGTTCAGTTTAGCTGCTGTAAATGTGTCTGTGACTTAAGCTCTGCTTCAAGGAGAGGCAGACTTTTTTTCTCTCTCTAGATTTCTGTCCAGCATATCAGTTCTTTGATGTTATGTTCTGTAGAATAAAACCCTCCGTGGCTATGTTACTACATGACCCTTCTTGGCTGCTGCGAAAGCGCAGGACTTTTGATGACTGAGATTATTTCCAAAAATGTCAGGTCTCCTGAGGTGTGGGAGACTGATAATGTTGCTGACAACTATTCTGCTTGTCCTGCCTTTGAGTTGTTCCTTTTATGATATCTTGGGGGGTGCCTGTTCAAAACATGCTTGTTCAAAACATTGCTTGGCCTCCAGAATTGCTCCAGTGTCATCAACCAAATCCCTCATCCGCACTACTTCACACTGACTGCGCTGGATTATAAAAATGTTAACCCTTTATAGGGCACTCCGTGAAATACTAACTGAAATAACATTTCAACCCTAGGGTGTTATTGAAGGATATTTAAAGATATTTTTTTACTTTTGTGACTTGAAAAAAAAAAAAGAAGTTGCAAATCAAGATTAATAAAGGTACCATATATGGTAACTTGCCTATCTACAGTTAAAAAAAAAAGGAATTTATAATAAATAAAAGAAAAAGTAACAAACGGCCAAAAACATTTATTTAGAAACATTTTAGCTTACACAACAAGCAAAGTATTTATAAAGTGCTTGGCATGTTCATTTAGTCACATTTTTCTTGGGGTAGTGGTGTTAATGGCACCAATCTCAAAAAATAAATCAAAGTAGAGTTCAATGCAAACCAGTAACAAAGCGTTTATAAAGTGCCTGGAACATTTGTTTAGTGACATTTTTTGTAAGGTCGTGATGTTGACATTAATATAAAAACTAAATCAAAGTGCACATGGCTCTTCAACCTCAAGGAGAGGAGGCACAGGGTGGACATATTGAACATCCAAGGAAGTTATGAAATACTTGCCCCATAAAGGTTTAACAATCAAACTCCTCTTGTACATCCAGCACCATTCACATGGCTCTATAACTAACTAATATAATTAAATCAATGTATGGCATAGCAAACCTTTCCCTGAACTGGTAAAATGGTATTTTTCATCCATTTTTCAGTTTTAACTCAAAATGGTTCTGACATGGATCCACGTCATCACCGTAGTAATGCAACGATGACAATCATTTCCAAATATATGTTTGCCCAAAACAATTGACTGACTATAATAACACTCTGTAATGTTAGTTTAAGCCATTTGTCACTTATACATAGCTGTTAAAGTCAGCACAAAATATGAGACGGCCAATCAACAATGTAAGATGACCTATGGTGGAATATTACATTACCATAACAGCAGCAGCGCGGAAATGATTGTATAAGGGAGTAATGAGAAAACAATGAAACTATTTACAGACATGAGATCTGTCCTCTCCAAACTACCGCACACAACTAGAAGTATGCCGCTTGTGCATGTCTATCCATTAATGTGACTGGGAGCGGTTCATACTTGTGCCGTGCTGAAAGTGATATGGAAATGTGACAAGGTCCCACCTAGCAAGATTGCCATCACAACATTTATGGAAAAGTAACCACGGTGCTTATTCAGACATGAAGTCGACAAATTCAGATGCCATCAGATTAATGGAAAGTAGTGCATGTCTGAAAGAGGTTTTTAAGTGACTATTACCAACAGAATCCACTCTGCGTATTGATAATAACAATAGCTAATTTCATGTTTGGTTGGGGACAAGAAAATAAACAAGACAGTGCTGCCTGTCACTGCAGTCTTAACAAAACGCTCTTGGAGGCTTTCTCTTCAGATGCTTGTGTGGCAGTTGTCCTGGTGTGAGCGACCATTTCCAGTGTGCAGTGCTTACATATTGTTTGTGTTTATAATAATAATAATAATTGACTAGATTTATATAGCGCTTTTCTGGACACTCAAAGACGCTTTACACTGTCAATTATTCATTCACACACATTCATCCTGGTGGTGGTAGCTACGGTTGTAGCCACAGCTGCCCTGGGGCAGACTGACAGAGGCGTGACTGCTTACAGCCCCTCCGACCACCACCTCAAACAATCCATTCATACGCATTCACACCAGGCAAGGTGGGTGAAGTGTCTTGCCTTAGGACACAACGACCATGAAACAGGGCAGAATCGAACCGCCGACCTTCCGATCATCGACCGACTCGCTCTACCACCTGAGCCACAGCCGCCCCTATTATTTAAAATGCTCCCACACTGTAGATGATGCCTGGCAAAGTTTCATTTTTTTAACTGCAGCTTGTTTTCCAGGGGACCCCGTGTTTTGACCAAGTATAACTTTTTTGATAAGCGCTGTCGTCGTAAACAATGGCGTCTTTACATCACTGACTCGCCCCACCTCTACTGTGGTCAGCGACTGCTTGTTATGGTTTCATGTTTCATGAAAACCACTCATCGAAACTACTTGAGATTTGACGATGCACTTTTTAGGGTCCCCAGCAATATACACAGTAAGTTTGAAGAAGATCGAACAAACAGTTGTCAAGAAAACCAAAGAATACGCACATGCACACACATGAAGAGATTACTTGACATAACAGAGGAGGTGGATACACTATAAGCTGCCTATACATGATAGACTGCCTCGTCAGCACTAGAACAATAGAAATTGTTGCTGTTTCAGCCAGACTGTCGCAATGCTTCAGTCTATCAACACCAATAACAGCATTCCTCATCGTTTCTTTTACCGTTTTCAATGTGCTTACTGTAGATACTTGTGGCAACCAGACAATAAATTGTAAATGATGCTCCGTATGCATAAGACCTACATATTAAATCCTATTTCTGCTCTGCATATGGAAAAGACTATTGAGAGGATGATTACATGGTTTCAGGGTCTATTTACATTTCGCACAGGAAAAGAAAAGAGAAGGTCTCTAGTTGTAGACTGGCTCTTCTTATAAAGCAGCAGAATAGCACATAGCTTGTTTGCACTGTAGATGCCTGATATTCTCCATAGGGCTGCCCTGGATGGCAAACAGCAGCAAAGGATGATTTAAAGGTTTATGACTTTATTTTCTATTTCTTTCTTTGCTCTTCTAAGCCATATGTACTCCTGGAGTATAAAGTTGCAGCTGCATGCAACACTATCAACCCACTGATCGGTAGCTGCTGTTTCCTAGATGCTGGGACAGCGTTGCATGAGCTGAATACCAAGCAGAAATCCAACTAGAAGTTGGCTAATTGTAACGAGCCAATGAGTTTCCCACATTGTGTCGTTTGCCTCCTTGGTGAAAACAAATCACGCTGCTTTCCCTGTCGTCATTATGGCAGTGTCAGGGGACAAAAACAAGACTTTTCATCTTTATCTCTCTAATCATTTTACCACATCAACACTCCCTCTTCTTCATCCTGGCTCCCCTGTCACCTCAGGCTGAAGGCTCACCATTTGTGACAATATGGCAAGGGGCTCCCTCAACAGCTGAAAGGTTTAGAAAGCTACTGTGTTTCATTTGGTCAGAGAAAACCCTGATTGCTTTGACTTGGAGCCAATACCTTGACCTAAACCTGGTGGGACTCCACAAAATTTGTCATTGCCAGAAAGGTAATATTGGGGCAGCGCACCAAAACCAAAAGCCATTAGTAAATTTTGAGAATTCTGTTATGCTGTTGTTGTGTAGACATGAGCTAAAACTACATAAATAGGAGAGGTAAGGAATTGTCTTGTTTGCTGTTTTACAGGTAACTATCTCATATAATGGACTAATGCAGATACGGTTGGCATTCTGGTATTGTGGGGAGCAGAGATTTGATGGTTAAAAAGTTCCTCTATAGGCAAGACAGCCACAGATTGTCTATGATTTCCAAAACACTGAAAATTCTGCTCATGATTAATGATAATTGATCTAACTACAGCTGCTTATGGTACAATGAAAATGCATTTTCATTGTTGCTAGGCTACCTGTTGCTATATTAAAGCGTTCATGCTCACAATAACGCCACTGCGGCAAATATCCTGCTGTGAGACTTTGAAAGTGAAAATCTCTGTAATAAAAACTTGATATGACAGAAATATTTGGACTGTAGTAAACAGATCAGACTTTTACAGTAAAATACCATCCTGACAGCTGTGATGGAGTCCAGGACTCAACTGTGTAGCAAATGATTTAACTGCAGCTGACAAACTGTGACAGCTCACTTGTCTGAGGCGAAGAGAAGTACATGGTATCGTTTTGTCGTTAGAGCCAGGCCTCAGTATCAGGGATTATATATAATTACAGCTAATTAATGAAGGTATTGCTGTTGTTCTATGTGTGCAAATGTTCACAACTTTCTCGCTGTAGAGGTGCTTCTCTGGGCCTTGCTGCTGTCTGATGCTGTGGGTGTTTAATAAACTCAGAGGAAAGACTCCCACAAACTGAACTTCAGCTCCTGTAAACATTTTGTTTGACCTTTTATGGACCTATCAGTTTTTTTTTTGTGATTTTGGAGAGGTCTGTGTGTCTCTGTCAACTGTGCTTTTTGCGCTCTCTGATGTTTATGGACCAATATTGGTACTGAAATGTGGAGAGTGGAATATTCAGACGTTGTCTTGTTTGCGAAGCTGTTTCATCATGTAACTCTGCTTTTACTTGCACCTGGACAATGGAGTTGCATTCGCTGAAATGTTGACATCATTTCAAAGCTGGCTGCAGCCCTGCCTGGCCCTCCCTTGGTGGCGCCACCGCCTCCTCCTCCTCCTGGCAGTGAGAGTAATCATACAAACACTGCTGATGTGGGCTTATGATGTATGCCTTACTTGCCTCTGCATGCTGTTTCATTTGCATCTGGTGTTCTTCACACTTGGACTTTTCCTGTCCACCATAAGCTCCACCATCCTCCTATAGCTGCAGTAACCTCCTCTGTCTCCTCTTCAGCAACACAAAGAGAGATACCTGGCACTGAAAGGCTTAATCAGCATTGTGTGAAGTCGTTTGGCAAGGACTGAATGAAATGTTCAATTATCTGTAACAATCACGCACTCCAACTTGAATATTCTTAGTGCTTGAGCTAAAACGTCACCTGTGTTCCTCTGAGTGAGATACACAAATAAAAGCCTGTTTTTCAGTTTCGTTTTTTATGACACACCGAAGGTCTGCTCCAAGTCTGATGACTTTGGCTGGTGGTCTTGACTGAAAATGATTTGGGGTAAAGAAGTCTCGTAATTTTGTCTTCAAAGCTTAAAAAAAAATCTCAGCACTGGCTAAAATCTGCCAGAAAATCAATAGCTCATTCCCTAGCACTGTAATCCCCAAATAAATATGATGGTTTAAGTCTCCTCTGGTTGGGAGGTTGATACAGATGGAGTTTACAGATCTGATGGTTCACATACAGCACACGATTGACCGCAATGTATTTTGATTGTTTGGGCAAGAAAAAGTATTTCACATAACGGTTCCTCTGTTTAAGACCCTTAGATGTGTTGTGTTTACATAACTAGTTCGGCAACTTTTTATATTTTCGACTAAGTTGCTAATAAAGCTCAGAGCATTGTTATTCTGAGCAGGGCAACATGCTACTGCAGAGCTGTGGAGCAGACAGAGCTGGTGCTCGCACAGTATTGGTATGCTGCTGTAGCAAGAGGGCTCAGCAGGTCCACCACAGAGCAGCATGAACCAGAGGGCAGGGCAACAGCCGGCGTGGCTGTCACTGTTCATTAGCAGGGCGCCGTAAGCTACCTGAAGCCCACCAGAGGCCAGCCACTGGGGGGGGAGGACCTTGTTACCACCCAGCCACAATCCCAGAATATCTCGAAATTGTAATAGCTCTGCGAACTATCCACACAGCAGACTTTTTATGTCGGCAGTCGATTTCTGAATTCTGTTCAGCTGCACGTACTGCCCCCGTAGATGCGTCTCAATCTGTGTTTGAAGCTGTGATTGCTGATCCATTTGCTGCTCTACATATAAAAAAACATCCCCACGAATATACCTGGGAGAGGCCAGGTATGAATAAACTGCTTTTAATTAGCCCATATGTCACTACTATGAATACACTGAGGGACCGTAGAGCGTCTGCACGTACATAGTGCGTCTCCATATTTCTTAACAGCAGCAGGTGCAAGTGATAATTACTAAACCTAATACATTTATGTATTTCTTTGTTGTATTACAAAAGCTACCACGATAGAAAAGACAGATACAACAGCCAACCAGGACATCAGCACATAATTGGAATAGAAAAACTGACTAGACTTGTTTATAAGTGAAACTCAGTTTGAACAGGTTGTTTTCCTTCAGCCTTCAGTACAACAAAACTAATTATTTCAATCCAAATATCCATCTTTGCACTGTTAAACCCTTTAAGAAGTTCTGCGCCGACTATTCAGTGGTGTCAAGGACCAGCTTCTGAGGAGGCACATTCACAGTCTGATGTTTGGGGATTTCTATAGATGCAGCTGGTGCTGTTAATGCAGTTCAGTGCGTGGGAAAAGAAATGATGGTGCACGCCAGAGAGAAAAGGATGAACTTCCTGTGCTGTCTAACACAATAAACTAATTTAATGATGCTGCTGAAGATAAAATGATAAAACTGACAGCCAGGTCCAACACCTGAAGGGCAATGGATGCATCATCAAGCACACATGCTTGCCAAACTATACATCACACTGAAGCCCAGAGAAGAGTAGGATAAAGGCTACGGATGGCTGATCCTCTGCATAATGTGTTCGCGCTATGTTTTCCCACCAAAACACATTACAGGCCTGTGTCATACTGCTCAGGGATCCATCATGCTAATCAGTCACAGTGATCACTCCTGGAAATTACATCTTTTGCCGAGCTTCGGCATCTCCCATCAAGTGGTCTGATTGATAGGTGATAAAATGTGACGGTGTCAAGTGTGGCTGCAGGTAATAGATACCGGGTCTAGATTAAGAACTTGCCATCTGGAAAGTGAGCGAAAGGGGGATAGATGATCCTTTCGGCGCTGCTATCCCAATGCCGCTGCTCGGGAAGACATAAAACACAAATTGGTGTGCAAATATCTCCTGGAAAATGTCATCTCTTTATATAAAGAGTCCCTGACCCAGTAAGCCTTTGCAATACGGGATGATGGTGACTTTACTCCAGCCTGCATCAACAGCGATTTCTCACGTCGTGTTGAGCTGAGCCTACGTTGCCTTTTAGAGTTCAAGAAATGGTTGATTAGGCAGTTGATGAATAAATGAATCACAATATCTAAAGGTGACAAAATATAGGTTACACACATTCCTCATTTATTTTACATTTTTAGTAACATCTACATAATGACTAAGAATAACTTTAGCTCTGGTAACAAATTTCCAAATGTAACCTTTATTTCAGTTCCTCTTGAAATGATGCCACAACAGAACCTCCTCACCTCAGGCAAAAAAAACATATGGTCGGTGTTATAATCTGGTGCCACAGAGCATCAAATTACAGCAGAGGAAAAGAAAAAAAAAAAAAAGCTAAGTGTCAGACAATGGCACTCATACCTCTGCCTCTTGAGTCTAATTCTTGGCCAGGGTGTATTCAAGTTTAACACTGTTCCATTTTAACACAAATCCCATCGTCTGAGTCATATTCAGGAACAGAGATGCTCAGTCATTACTATTCCTGTCACAGTTCAAGCAGGTTTTTTTTTCAGATAGGCAGGAATGTAAAGAGGCACTGAACTTCTAACCTTTCATTCTTATTCTTACACGGCAGTCGTCTCGCTCCTGATAAACCATCTCAATTATAACACCGATATAACTGGAAAGGTGATGTGATGCTTGACCTTTTTAAGCAGCAGTACAAACATTGGAACATGGACCCTTATCAATCAGAAGCAACAGTTCTGACATACCAAAGAAAGTGTGTTCATCAAAGCCGATCGTATATATATCATTTCAGTAAAGATTTGTCATTTTATCTCAAAGCTAGGCTGCAGTACGTTTAATCCTTTAATCATTCCAAAGTGAGCAGTAGACGCAGAAGAGCTTGCCAGGACTTTATTTAAATTTTCTTGACTGAGAGTTGCAAAAAAGTCTTAAACTGCACAAAAGAAGACAATGCAGCACATTATGGCCTTATGAAGGAATAGAAATAAATAAGTCATGGGAACGTAAGTCTTTGATGAGTGTTTCAAAGTGGACGAAACTGGCACTCAGTGAAATCTTTTCTCTCTAGGACGTACACATGAGGCACACGTGTACAGAACTGATTATTAATTTAATTGCTTTGGGTCACTTTGAAAGAACCTCCCAGTTTTTTTTCTCCCCTATTGTGCTCGTCATGGGCCACCAATCAACCAATCAGCCAAACAATTCCTTTTTAATTCAGCCAGGTTCTGATAAAGTAAGAATGAAAAACGAAAGACTTGACATTTTCATAGTACTCACATGCCAAGAAGCAGTCCATACTGAAAGAGATGTTGTCCAGAGAGATGGCTGAACCGGGTCCAGGCCCATCTTCTGTGTTGAACTGGAGCCAGAACCTGAGGAGGGACGTAACAGTTTTAACTACCTCACAACCTGTAAATGGTTAGATAGCTTCCGACTGGAATGAAACACAGAAGAATTTATTGTGCTTTCAGAAACTACCAGAGAGAATTGATTTTGGATGGTATACACCATTCGCCTTCTGACGTCTTAGCTTGCATTGTTAAGAGGTGACTGCTCTTTCAGCACCGACAAAAGAGCCGCTGACTTCTTTGGGGATTAGACATGATTATTGGTTGTTGTTACACACATGGCGTAAACTTTAATATGAAACTCAAGAAAAAAAAGGTCAATATTTTGATGCATTACTAATACATTATTATCTAATTAACATGTATGTTTTGTTTTCTAATTTCTGGAAAACAGCAATTTTCCATTTTACAGGCAGTTTTTTTTTGCTGGGATACTTCTTGGTCAGAACTAGCTGTTAGTGAACCATGAACATATACCACCTTAGTTTGTGAGCTTTTTTTTTTTTTTTTAAAGTTATTTTTTTTGGCCTTTGTGCCTTTTATTGGATAGTGTTAGTGAGAGGAAAGTAGGGGAGAAGAATGGGGGGAGGACATGTGGGAAAGGGTCATGAGCGGGATTCAAACTCATGACCTCAACATTGGGACTGTAGCCCTGCACATGGGACGCCAGCTTAACCAGGTGAGCTATAGCGGCGCCTCATAGTTTGTGAGCTTTTGAAAGGTCAGTAGCTGGGCTTTGAATCAGACCAGCAGTTTCCCCTTTCTCTCCAATCATTGTGTGCTAAGATATGCTATCCATCTCATGGCATCATATTTAGCATACAAGTAAAAGAGTGGTATCAATCTTCTCATCTAATTCCCATGCAACAAACCTATTTCCAAAATATCCACCTCTTCCTTTAAATAGAGATGATTTAAAACCATTTTTCATTTGTGTGGAAATGCTTTTCTAGAGTGTAACTATTTTGATGGCAGATGTGACCCAAAATCTGTGACATGCGACTGAATATTTTCTTAGTTTACACTTGTGAGTTCAACATTTAGCAGGTTTGTCTCAGTGTGTCCCTGAGACGGCCCGCCCAGGTAGACAAAATCCCTTCAAACTAGGTAAATCTTCATTAGAGTGCCTTGTTTCTCTGTTTTTAAACTCAGTCAAACATCTTCCTGAGAGACTAGAGGCTTCCCTGTGCACAGCCAGCTAGCAGTGTCTAGTGCATGTGAAGCAGGTACAGAGAACTGGTAAACTGACAGTGTTTGTGAGGTGTCCTGAATGGAAATGTTAAAAAAAACCCACAAAGGATATTAATATTTGCTACTGACTATAGTACAGCCAAAGAAGAGTTAAGTTTGAGATCATCCTTATGATGAAGAACGGGGTAAGTGCACAAACATTTATCTGCACTTTTATTCCAGTTTACAATATTTACATCATGCGTTAAGAAACTACAAATGTGTAGGGGAACTGACAAAAAAAAGGTAACACTTAAAATGTATTAAAAAAGTTAAAAAGATAAAGTTTTACATTTTAAGCATGTACAAAGTAATGACAGTAACATGACCTACATTATCTATGATTCTTAATGAAGTCCCAGTCAGTGTGTATGTCAACACCTGTTGCTCTAACTCGATGGTATTTATATCACACTTCAAATCTTTCAAATCAAAAGTGCTCAAACCACAAACACTCAGCTGTAGAGTCTGCTTATACGATCTGCTATTTCCCTGACTTTTGCCTGCACTTTGGGCTCTATTTATGATTCTATTTAAGCTCTACAAAGGTCACTGTGCGAAGTCTGGCAGGTTCACCTACTGGTTACGTACATGACATTCTAATTAAGAGCACAAGCACAGCTGACGACATAACCCAGGAATCAAAAATTAATCACTCTCAGGGGAGCCGGATTATCCAAGCTTGAATGGCAAAGAAACCCCCAGTCAGGCAAACAGAGATGAAATGCCTTATCTTGGATTTGTCCTTTTTTTCTAACTTTACTCTATTTTGTTTTCATTTCTCTCTTCATTGAGGGGAAATCAGTGCCATAGCTAATTGGAAGGCGAGTAGAGTGGAGAGAGCCTTGTGAATTGATTTCTCTTCTCTTCATCACAGACGAGCAGAATAGAGAGAGGGCAATATTTTGTACGACTGTACACATGGCTGGTCCATCGTATAAGACCAGACTCCCTATGGGATTCATTAATTTTGTGGAGCTAAGAGGAAATGTTTTCCAGAAAATAGAATGAAAATGTTGAAAATCTGCATTTATGAGGAAGCGCGTCTCTGTTATGTTTCTTATGACCTCCTTTGGAGTGGGAGCACTTAAGTATTTGTGTGAGTGTGTCAGAGGATTGTTGGCATGAGAGTCAGATGACTGATCTGCTCTTAAACACTTCGATGTGGAGCTGCCAGTCTGATGCTCTCAGACAGCCCAAACACATTGCTTTGACGTAATCATAACTGCACTGCCATTGGGTGAAAGTGGTGAGCGTTTGTCGTACCAGTCTGCCAACCCGTAAAGGGGAAGTACAATGAGTTTCCAGCCTCTTTCAGATTTGGGTTCGCTGGCTGAATGCCACAGTTGGCGCCGCTCTCTAGATCCTGTACTGTTCTCCGTGATCCACAGTGACAGCGACCCCTTCTGTAAGCCTCCAGAACACAGCCAGAATCGCACCTGTTGGAAGAAAGATCAGATTTCAAACGATCAGTGCCGTCATGTAAAATTTTAGTACACACTGTGGGTGAAAACAAAGTTTGATTGACGGTTTTTGAGAAATATAACGTGTCTCAGTGTATAAAGTACCACAGCAACTTTTCAGAACTGAGGTAAACCAGCCAAATGTGTTATCAGTCAAGGGAGGGATGCACATAAAATTGCACTGAGATTAATCAGCAACAGCCATCTGTTCAGTTCTAATTATTCTAAGATTAATAGAATTCAATCAGGATTATAATTTGGGTTATTTTGCGATGTATGCTGCTCTTGCATGCTTCAGCACAAATCAATCTAACGTTGCTGTTTCCAGAAGGGATATGTTGGTTTTAAATCTACTTAAAATTAAACAACACACGGGCTGTCACAGGAATTAAACAGTAAAAGGAAGTGTGAATCTAAAGCTCGGGACGTGACCATGTCCCTGTACAGCGTTTTTGAGAGCCAAGAGCATAATTCTTGTTTTACCATTTAAGTGGAACAGATGCTGGCTTAAGCCTGATGACTAAATTCAATGCTTTCACACTCAGTGCTTGCATTGTGCTCGTCGATAGCAGGTTGTGGCCCTTATCATCAACGACGAGGCCACATGGTGACCATTTAAACATCAAGATTACCGGCACTGCACAGAGCACACTGGGCATGACATGAAAGTGAACATGGTGTGTAGCTAATACCCAAAACTAATATCCTCAACATAGTTGTCCAAGAGCGGACGGGCTAGGTTGAACAGCACCAGTTTGTAGAGAGAAGGATTTAGAGTGCTAATCTGGAATCATGGCTAATCTTTGGCTGCATGCCAAGAAGCTGTGAGGGAAGGTCTGCAGTCCTGCTGCCACTGCTATCCACAAATATCAGACACCTCGAAAGTACCTCTGATGACAGACAGCGACATCAGTTTTGTTCTTTGTCTTCTGTTCCTTTCTGTCTTTCTTTCTTGCAGTCAGTTTCTTTGCACATTTCTCTCCATCTGTTTTATTATCTTGTTTTCTGACCCCTTGACCGTTGCATCAGCTTCCCACTTTTACTGAATCCTCCTGTCTCAGCTTCCCCTGCCTCCAATTACTCCTTGCCTCCATTTGAAATGTGCGAAGTAAACAGGCGAAGGGTCAAAGATCACGCTGCTGAGTAATATTCAAATAACACAAGTCCAAATCCCAGATACAACAGCATCAATCAAGACGGGGAGTACACAACCTCCTCACCTGGAGACCTGCTCGCTGAGCGTCACGGTCTTAATAATGCATGACTTTTGATGTTTTCATAACCAGGTCAGGAGACGCAACCTGTGATTGACGAGGCCAACCTTACTGTCTGTTAGCATCTCCGAGGACATGCTGATGGCGCACTGCTAGCTCACTGTCTCGGCACATTACTGTTTGATTTTTGAGCTTATTCTGAAAGACATCAACGTACCAAATTATTAAAAGCTATCTACTGAAGGAGTAACTTTAAAAACACAGTTGAAGAATGCAACAAAGTGACCTTCTACGCAACTTCTATTCATATATCTTTTACACATTTTCCTTTTTAATTACCGTACACTGAATATCGACACATAATACACCCATCTTGCAATATGTAAGATCAGCTACTGTAAAGTAAAGTGTAAAATTAAACTTAATGTTTAATCAGAGAAGCACGCTGATAAATGTGATGACGGTAAATTACAGGATTGCCAGTGTAACAGCAAACATTCAAACTGTCTGAGTCCCTGTATGTGTTTTTAGTTGACCCTTGATTTGACTAAAACAGCCACTGTCTAGTTTATCTGCATATTGCAAACTGCAAACCTAGTTTACAAAACTTGCACAGTTCTAATCGTGTACTATTCTTAAAGGCATGGAGCATGTCTTTAGAAAACAATGATATTATGTAGATTCATAGATTTGAAAAATGCCTGTTCAGGACTGGAACACTGACTACATGGAAGCCTATCAGAGCTGAGAATGACAGCGGGCCTGATCCTGTTCTTGATTTAGTTCAGGGGAGTTCACACTTCAGTGAGTCCAGTCAAACTTGCATTAGATAGACAGTCTTTAAAAATCATCGCTTATTTTCTCATCCTCAAAGCATTTCCTCTTGTGAAACTGCAGCAAGCTATTAGATTCTTTTTTTTTCTGACAGACACTGCATTTTGAATTGTGATCTATCTTTTTTTTTAAGTCAAGCTTCATTTCAATATTCATTGTGTAATCCATTAAAATGTGATGCCATTCAAAGCGTGACTGTGACACATCAAGGACAGCATGAATCTATAAAGCTGTTGACAGTCTGAACTCTGGGTTAGAAACATAAACAGTATCTTAAGTTGCAGCCTTTGCGATTTGCTAATTGCATAGTTTTAAATTGCAATTTTATTTTAAATCGATTAGTTGTTCAGCTCTAATGGGAAGATTAAAAACAGTTTTCAATCAACGTACAGGGTTCTGGGAATGGCTTATAACTGAGGGTGATATAGTCTGGTAGCAGCGATTGTCACTTCAGTTGAGAAAATCATCAACTTGGAATTTAATTTTGTGTGAAATTGAGGACGCTTTGTTTCTAAATTTACATCGAACAAACAGTGAGTGGCAAATCTGGCACTTGTTTTATTGTAAACTGTAAATGTGCTGTGTGAAAAGAGGAAGAGACAGCAGTATTAAGTAAGTGGCGAGGGGCTCACCGTGCAGGGGGAGTTTCTTAGAGGAGGAGCGAACAGAGGACTCCTCAGCGCTGAGCTGCGCTGACCTTTACCTTGGCCTCCCTCCACCGTGAACGTAGCACCTTCAACGAAACACACACATGTGTTAGTCTCCGTGTCAGAAGTGGGTAGAAGAAGCAAACAAAACTGAATAAAAAGTCATATAATTTATATATGGTGTTTGGAGCTTTTTGCTGTCTTTTCCTCAAAGGAACTCTGAAACAGTTAACATTAGTTACCCTTCATTTCAGGTTACTGTCACAGTAGTACGCTGATGAAAGAACACAAATAAAATCACCAAATATAAAATTACAATGCTCCATTTATAGCTTCCTCACACTACCACCTGTAAATAGCTGAGAACAAAAACAAGCCTCAGCAAACCGTGATTTTAAAATCTCATCAACAGACACACTCGAGTCGCTGCACTGATGATGAACTGCAGACGTAAAGACTCAGAGTTAACACACCGGAGCTTTTTTTTTTTGCCCAGTGGGAGTCTGTTAGCAGAGTTCTGAACAGGACAACATACCTGCGTCCGGCACATCAGAGCTTTCAGGTTATCTTTCAACACTCGCAAACTCTTAAGGTTCAAGATTGGGTTCAGGTTACGTTCAAGTCTGAAACGCCCCAATCTTGCTTTACTGGAAAATGCTCCCCTTTGAAGTGCATTTTAATGAGGCCTTATCGTTCTACGCACTTAAGAGAGGCGGCAAATGAATCATTTCATCATTTGATCAGAACTGTGCTCATGATTTCATAAAAAGATGTGTATGAGTTACCTGATGACTGGCAGCTCTGCCGGGTTGCTTTGGCTGGTGACTGAAGTCTTCTCCAGGAGAGACCGTGGCTGGATATTGACTGCCAACTGCACTCTCCCTCTTCAAAGGAGCAGTAGCTGCCATTGAGAAAGCGTCCTGGAGAGACACAGGAGAGAATATATCAGGGGAGCAGAGGCAAAGATGATAAGGCAAGGGACGGGACGGGAGGAGGGGGGGCATATAATGAGTGGACAGGACCGGCAGGGGGTCAAAGAAGAAAGCAGAGTGAACACTGGCAGCCAAATGTTCCAAGGAGGAAAAAGGGAGGCAGGGCTGAGGTGGGGACCGGCCATCTAGGAAGCTGAGCGACAGTGAAGGCAAAGAAGTTGAGAGGAGAGAAGCGTGTGGTGTGCAGACTAATGGCTCACAGTGCGTTGGTGTAAATTAGGATTGAGGTGTGGCGAGGCGATGATCTCAGACCGACTCCAGAAACAGAGGATGGGAAAGGGCTTTGCTGTCTATAGGAAGGAGTAGAGGGAAGGAAGAGGGTCTGGGGGGAAATGAGAGAGCTGAGATGGTGACGTGACGTCTTTTGGGGATGGCACTCAGTTTAAAGCTTTGAAGAATGGCCTCTGAAGCATTTAACCCACCGACTGCTTTTCACAACATCAGTCTGTACAGCAACAATACAGTGAAAATATTTAATTGAACTGTGCAGAAAATACAACTAAAGTTTAATCACTGCCGACTGAAGCGTGTGCATCTGTTGCCTTGCCACCGTGTCATGTTGAATAATGGCTTTATTTGCAAACAGTATTTCTTCTTTTTTCTTGCTTTTTTTGCTTTGCTAAGTAACTGACAGAATAAATGAAATGCAACAAGAGGTAGTGCAAATATTCAAAAAATAATTGTTATATCAGAGGCACATTTTTTGGTGGAAGTCTTTACTGTCAGGATCATTTTTCAGTCACTTACAGTTACGAAAATTGTGCCTACGTGTATAGGACTCATTTGAAACATTCGTAAAATAACGCTTCCAAGTTGCTGAAATTGCAATAATGTAAAAGCCTGACATATACAAACGCTGTGTGCCACTTACTTTTGTGTTACATTTTCATAGACTGACACGCAGTAAAATAAAAACACGGCTGTGATGGACTCAACCTGACGAGGTATGATTAGATTTATAAACTCTACGTGTGACAGCTCACCTGTCTGAGGTGAAGAAAAGTACACGGCGTGATTTATCATTAGCTTCTAAACCCTGTTGTCTCCATATCAGGGACAATCTATAAATCAACTTCTGTTGTTCTACATGTGTAAATGTGTGAAACTCTCCCAGACTACAGACTCTCATATGGAATCCAGTTGCTGTTTGGTGCTGCAGGTATTTAATAAAGTCAGAGAAAACACTCCTACAAACAGCTGGAAGCAACAAACTGAACCTCAGCTCCAGGTTTTGGGATTTTGCAGATTACATTTATTGTTGCTTCTGCTTGGATAGGCTCCAGCCCCTCCGTGACCCTAGTGAGGATTAAGCGATGTATAGATAATGGATGGATAGATGAATTTATTATTGCTGAGTCTTGTTAATCTGGAGACTCACAGTAACGTTTTTAAAAATATTTCAACTTACGGAAGGTGAAATTTCAAGATAAGAGTGATTGAGGCAGAACTCAACATACAAGGCTTTGCGATTGTTTTCATTGTTTCACTTTTGTTCGAACGGTGTCTCTGTGTGATGTTTTTGAGCTAATATTTGTGGTAAAATGGAGAAAAAGTCTTTCCCGACTGTTATCACACAAGCAGCGTGAAGTACGAACTAATCTTCTCCTTATCTGTTAAAGGGACTGGGTGCTGAAAGTGATACTATGTCTGGCACGGCAAGATCAGCCGTTCAAACTATTAAGTAAGCAGGGTGCACATTCAGACATAAAGTTTTGATGCGTTCAGATTATTGACGAGGTGTTTACATCTGAATCGGGCCCCGCTGTGAAATTATACCTTTTTTTTTTTTGGTATGATTAAAGTTGTTGCTGAGGATTTAAACTTCATATCAGACTGAAAAACTTCAGTTGACAGCTTTAGAGTTTTCACTTTAAGTTTGCTTTATGTTCCTTTCATTCTGAGCTATTGTCTGTGAGTGCCCATTATCTGTAAGAATCTGTGAGTGCTGTGATAACTGTGTGCTTTTTGGAAGACATCATCCAGAAAGTAGGAGTAGAAACTGGGCTGAGCCAGGACAAAGAAGCAGGTTTTCTTCCAAAAAAAACCCTCAAAAACAAACAAAAACAAACCTGAAAGCTTCCTTTTGCAATGACACCAGTCCTGAAATTATTATTTTTTATTACATAAAAGACACAAAGAGCCATAATTTCAGTTTTATTTAAACAGTAAGAAATACATCAAATTTGAAAGGATAGTTTCTGTGATGTTTTTCTCCAAGCAAATCAAAGCTTCTCTGGACTTTCTGGGTAATTAGTAAATTTCATCTCCTTGTCTGTCTTGTGATGAGTCACCCTCCCTGTTACATAAACCGGCTCATGTTTGACTTAGATGCTGTTTATGTAAAGCGCAGGGATTCCAAGTCCTATCGTGCTTATAATATAAATAGAGAAGTCTGTGATGATTTCATCTTTATGAATGTCACTCAATTAGAAATGTCACTCTCGACTGAATGTCAACGCCGGTTTAATGTTGTCCAGCGTGGCAACTCATTGGAGGACACAGCCTATAAACATTTATATTGATGTTATTCAGACCACTAGGATTTTATTCTTCTAATATACCAACAGAAGCTCGTGTCTGGTAATTACACAAAGCCATCACAACCGCAGATACAACATGTGGGTCAGTTTTAACATACTGAAATTCTTTGGAAATAAAAATCTGCAGTCTTGTCAGTCCTCTCTTTACTGCCTTTTTCAAAAATATTTTTAATTTAATATCTGGGGGAAGTCCCAACAGTTATTAATCACATATTTAAGACTGCAGTTATTGTGGCTCTTTTGGAAAAAAAAATAAAAAATAGTCTAGATCATTTACAATCCAGTGCCTACAGACTTTAATGCCTCTGCCATGCTCTGGGTGGTGCCTTCAGGAGACATGGCGTCCCTTTACATAACAGTGCTGATGTCACACAGCTCTACGTTGCCCAACCACAAACTACTAGTAAACTAGTCTGTGCTAGTAGTCACTGGACACGTCTGAAGATCAGAGTGCAGCTGAATGTATTAATCTTTAAACATCAGCCCGGCTTTTTGCCCTGATTTAACCCTCTGAACCCCAAGCAGTTTTTTTATTTTGCTGCTGTTACTGTTTTACTCACTGTGGCCTCATCGTATCCTGCTGTACAAAGTCCTCCACCTTTATAGAAACAACTATGGTGAGGGCTCAAAAAAATAAGCAAAAGTTGAGTGTTATCAATACTCGAAAAAATGGTGCCTCTGCATACTATATATTACTTTTTTTGTTTAATTTCATTCCATTTTTGTCTTATTGCTCTCTGTAAACACAGCCTGCAGTTCAGCCAAGTAGTTCTCAGATTATTACCACATGACTGTTCATAGCAGCTGAGCCACTAATGGCTTCACCAATGTGCCGAGGAGCGCAGATTTAGTTGTTTTTACAGAATCTGCTTAGTGCAAATAATGTATTTTTAAATTTTTGTTTAGCATTTTGTCCAGTGAAACATACAGAATACCATGATCTGATTAAATATTAGGATTTTAATCTAGATTTCACCAATTTTCCTGATGAAACTGCACATCACACAAGATTAGTTCAAGACCGTCGGAAACTTAACAACGCGATGATTCTTTTGGTTTTTACATTTGAAACCTCTTATAAATGGTGTCATTGTAGTGATTTTTTAAAAGGACAACACGACCTTCAAACCTGCTGATTGATTTTGGGATTCAGATGGTGTTTAGTGTTTTATAGCCATTATTTATTTAGTTTATTGTTTTTGTCTGATTGTTCTCTTCCCTCTCATTAGTCGCTTCTGGCACCGTCTTTTTCCTGTTTTATCCAGTTGTATTTTAGTTTTTTTCCCGCATTAGCACTTAGGGATCCTTAGATAAACAGACAAAGAAAGCCATCAGCACCGGTCTCCGTAGTATTGCAACGATCTCTGGGAGGACCGATAATCTGTCATCGCTGAAAAAAAATAAAAAAGGCACATTACCACTTTAAAATTCCTTCGTGCATCCAGCTTTGATGCAAAGCAGCATTTCTATGCAGTTGCAGGGGGAACTGTGGCATCGGAAAGCAGCGGGGTATCTGCAGAATTTAGATGGACTAGGATCAACCAGAGGAAGCTGCGACTCTCGGAGTCGAGTGGAGAATGTGTTTATGCATAATGATGCCATGGTAGGATAGAGCCGGAGGTCCACAGGGACTTGGTTTTCCTTATATGTCAGGAATCTTTGTGATTGACACGAGCTAAGTTTGTTCCTCCTGCCTTTTGCTGCTTTTTTTTTTCCTGTTAATGAGCCTTGGCAGGGCTTATAAAGGATTTAAATAGATCAAATCAGATGAAGATAAGTCGTGGATAGATCATAGAGAATAGGGTATCAGAGAGGGAACACTATGTGATTTGGGTAGCAGGGGGTAATTGTTATGAGTGATGGAGATGAAAATGGAATGAATACAAAGCCTAAGGTACAGTAATATAACGTGTGTGACGAGGCGGAAAAGAAACACATATGAGGCTGTCAAGATGGACTGATGAATAAAGTTATAGATTGCTGGTCCTTGTCTTTAATCAAAAAGAATGAAGCTTTTTTTTTTTTACTTTCTTAAGAATGGATTGAGAGAAAGAAAGAGAACCTTGATTCAGAGCAAATGACAGCCGGCCTTCATGCCTCTCTGCACTTATGAGGACGCACAATGGAAAAAGGTGTGTACGAAAGTCAGCATAGAATCCTCAAGTCAGCTCCAAACAATACGCCTTTCTCTGCTGGAGTTAGTGTGATTTTTCCTTCTCTGTTTGTTACTCACTGCAGTTACCAGACTGATTATCGCCTCCAGAACACATGATTCCGAAATATTCATGTGCGAGTCAGTGACATGTACAGGGTGGCTGTGTGTTCCGCTGATTGTTACTTATGCTCAAATGTCCAAGGCCGGCTTCAAAAAAATCAAAACTTTGCACACACACATGTATTACATTCAAATGGGGATTATACACTTGGGTTAGCCTCTTGGGCCAATTAGCACTGATAAGTCCTCCCCAAGTAGAAAGAGAAACTGCGCCTGGCTGGGATTTTCACCCTATCGTTACCCTCTTATCTTCCAGCTCCCATTGTTAGCAAACCTATACACACAAGGGAGCAGCCATCATTTTAATAAGCACCACATGGGAGGCTGACCTGCTCTGTGGGCAGAAGCAAATTAATTCTGGTCAGTTTAATATGGGTAAAAGACAAGGAAATCAAGCTACAACATTTTTAAAAAAATTGTAGGGGGTAAGACATCTGAACTGCGTGTCTATAAATCTCAAAGACTATGTAAAAATGCACGCATGCAGGTAGCACTAAAAAAAGATTCCCCGGCGCTCACACATGCAGACACACAAACGGTAGGGCCTGGGGGACTTCACTTGTGAATAAGATGTCAGCGTACTTGGCTAGTGTTCCTCCTAGGCCTCGAGAAAGGCAGAAAACAAATGTGCAAAGAGATAGAAATAACAACCATCGAATATGTCAAGGGTGAGAAATGCTAGCCAAGCATAGCTACGCTCGCTCTTTTTTTTTGTTTTTTGTGTCAGCCTCTCCCTCTGTGTCAGTAAAAGCTCACCCCAGAAGCTCAGTTGTTGCTCTGTTGGGCAGGATGCAACGGCTTCATTAAGGGTGACTCACTACGGCTGACCAATTTCACAAGTGGGCTTTTGTGATCCAGAAATGAATGTGTTCGCTCGTAGGCTTTCTTCCTGCAACATCCTTGCAGCTCCTGTATCGCAGTGTACTCACGACAGAGGTGGCCTTCATCGTCGCCGTGCGGACAGTCCGTATTGAAGTCGCACAGTTTATCCAGTGGGATCGCAGGGCCTTGGTGACAGTGGTACTGGCCCTCCAGAGTGATGTTAGGGCCAGGGGAGGATGCTGGGAGGAGGGGGAGGGAAAGGAGATGAGAAGAGAAGGAAGGAAGGAAGGAAGAGGAAAAACAAAAACTGTCACTTTGTTTTCCCACACAGTCATCGTTACAGTAAACCAAAGTGTTTTCACTGCGTACTAGAAAACGATTCACTTGTTGGCAGCAGAAACAGAAAGTGCAATGTATCAACCACAAGCCACAAAAAATATAACTTTGGAGCCAAAGAAAAACAGCTTGCGATTAGGTTCCAAGCTTACTTATTGAGTATCGCTGCTAGATTTATATGTTCGACACTAAACACAAATCAGGGGCTCGGGGAAAACATAACTTACTAACAGTAGAAAATATACAGTTACTACATACGAGTACATCTGTAAGTGACAAAGGCTAATATAACCCCTGACTGTAAACTTTGTATGACATCCACAGGCTGCCTGCACCGTCGTAAATAACATGGCTCAAGCAGCATAAGCATCTGGCGATGAACACCCATACATATCCATCAGACGAAAGCAGCAAAAAACAATGACCTAGATACCGTTAGCAGGTTGCACACGGGTTGGGAGCACACACAAAGACACCAAATGATAGCAGCGGTCTCAGCACTCAATTGTAACCAGAAACATTTGCATATCTATGCAAATCAGAGAAGTGATATCTCCAGGTTGTGGAAACTGACTACTCACCTTCACCTTAATCATCACAAACTGATCACAGTGAAGAGAACAAAACAGTAGAGCGGAAAAAACTGATGGGGATCTTGTTTTTTCACCCTCTCATGAGTGGAAAAAAAAAAAACAAAAAAAACGAGAAGTGATTCTTATCATGACTGACTGGCTGCGCTTACTGTAGTTTGCCCTTGATCTGTAATATGCAGATTTGTTCTCTGTTCCGACGAACTTGGAGTCAGAAGCCTGATAACGATTCCATGACAGGAGAACAAATGCTGTTAGCTGAGTGGACTAGATAGGCAGTAATGCTACATTAAATTCCGACATGAAGTTTGTAATTAATGTAGTTTTTTGTTTTTCTGTTTGCATAACATATTTTTTCGCGCGATGATGCACCGTCGGTAGCACTTTTCTCAAGCTCAGACTTACATTAGGATGACAGGCTCACAAAAATGTGGCAGGGCAGGATAAAGTACTGCATAAATCAACACGAAGCGTTTATAATGTTATATGTCAGAAGGAAATGAACAAAACAACTGACAATGAAAATGCCAAACCCTATTTATCCACAATATTACTACTGTATCTGGGTGTTGTTGTCGCTTTTAGTCGTGCACCTATTTTGCCAGGCTGGGATAAAACAAACAAATACTCTACAAGTAGATGAAAATAAGGCATTGCAGCTAAATTAAAGAATACAGTTTATTTATTTTTGCTGTTTCTTTAGGTTTGCAGACACAATTTAAGATTAACCAGTGTATTATTAGGGGGCAAAATGTGTTAGTAATAGATGTAATTAAACGTGTTAGATAAAACCTGTCAGTTCAAACTGCAGTAAAGGACAAATTAATTACCTCACATCAGATAATTAGCTGAGGGAATATGCAGTAAGAAAAGATAAAAAAAAGAAAAAGGATGCACTAAGTTTCAGTCATGACACCACAGTAGCTGCTACCACTCTTTAACAGTTCAAGGTACAAAACAAGAAGGCGCAAAATTGGCAGCTGCACAGAAATGATTGTTTAGCTACAATGCATCAGGGGCCAGAATGTTCACAGTTCTGCCTCCTTCTCAGCACACTTCATTATTGTTTTCCCAATGTGGTGGAGAAACCTTAAGGCCCAGTGGGAGACTGGCACAGTTAACTCTATAGATTAGAACGCAAGGGTGGCATTTTTTTTTATTGGACAAAACACATTAGTCAGAGGCCTCCCACAACCTTCCATTGTGGCTGCAGAGAGCCACATCAACGTGTCAGTGAGTAATCCAGTTCACACTCTTTTAAAACCTAGCCTGAGTAAATGACTTTGATAATGAATACCCTTTTGTGTCAATGCTTATGAACTGTTTTTTCCTGTGCTCTTTTGTACAAACGAAAGGCGGCGAACGTCGCACGCGCTCGCACGCATGAAGTCTCAAAGATGTGACATTTACAGAGCAGCGCAGAAAAGGCAAATACACTATTTTATTCAAATGAAGTAAGGCAGAGGCTTGTTTGTTTAACACCAAGTGCGGGTATAGATGTGGTTGTGCTATGTGTATTCAGTCATGCTCGACACATGTATTATGCATTGGTTGCGCTTCCTCTCCGTATAATGTTGACACCGCGAGCAGAACGATTTATCAAGAAAGAAAAAAAAAGTTATCTAGAGTATGCTGAAACCTTTGGGCAACGTATGTAAATCCATCGATTTATCTCAGTTTGATGACAGCGGGGTAAAAAGTACCAAAGTTGCGGTGTCACTAACTTTGCAGGTAAGTGCAGCCAGACGTGGTCGCTGCACTCGTGGCCCACCGCAGTTCTTAAATCACACTTGTCAGATTGTGAAAACAAGTGGGTCAGTGGGGGATGAATTGCCGGCGGGAGTAAGTGAGTTTTGTTATCCTTGTGCTCGTGGGGTTGCTTTGGCTTTGTGAGGGGAATGATGTATGAGTGGCGACGAGCCGGAGAGGTGACTGGAGAGGGCACAGCAGCTGATGAATGACAAAATAGATACGCAAACACAGGTATGAAGGTGTTTGTTGGACACAGCTAAATGGCGAACAATTAGTGCCACTGTGTAGGGATGTTAACAAACACGAAAACACAATGGCATGGGAGGCTTTGGCTGTTTCTCCTCAACATGTTGGCTTGACAACAATTGCACTTTTCACAACTACAGGAGTGTTATTCATGCAAATAGCTGAACAGTTCACTTACATTAAGCTCCACTTAAGATCTTTTTTACCTAATATCCTGTTATCATATTTAAAACGAATATTGTTTTGGTGAATAAGGCAAATGTTCAGAGATGTAAGTAAAGCAAACAAACCCACCAGACAAGCCATTTAATGAAGCAACAAAGTCTATTCAGAGACCAACAAAGGATGCTGGATTTCAGTCACGGGGAAACAGATGCTATAAGACAAGCTTTCATGAAACGACACATATATACTCTTAACCAAGGATTGACTCCAAGTGTAAATTCAGTTTGCTTTTTTTTATAACTGCACATTACATTCATGATAAGATTGTGTACAAAGACATTTTCTGATTCACATTCTCAGTGCTGCTTTCCAGCCTTGCAAGGTTTCATAACAAATAAGTTTCCCTTTCAAAATAATGTTATCTGCATCCCTGTGCTTTTCAGGTCCACCGGGTTTTAGAGTCAGGGTTGCAGGTTTACACAGACATTGATCTCCTGTTGCGAAGCTGAAGAAACAGAAGAGACAAAGAGACTAACATCCTCTTGTTTACATACTTCTCAGCCTTGTTGCTTTTGTCTAAATGTCAGGAAGGAGTAAGGAGAGCCAGAGCCATGCATCACTATCTAAATAGGGCAGGTTAGCACCATTGAGTGTTGACAGCTTTTAGTGGATAATTGATAAACGATTAACAACTAACCAGACCGGAGTCAATTACAAAATGCCATCAATATACTGTATGCTGTAAAAGCTGGTGTTGCCATTGGTGACACCCAGCAGGCAGAGAGACATACTTCACTAATGAATCATCGCTTACTGCTGCTCCCAGAGACAAGGCCCAGGGTTTGTTCTACTCTCTGATAAAGTTACTACTACTGTTATACTTTTCTTTTCACATGACCTGTAGGATTCTTTGAATTTTGAATTTTTAGGCTGTGGCTGGCAGCAGATCCATTTTTGTTATGACTGTCAATTTATTTAGTGGCACTTTCCTAACACAGCGATGTAAAAAAAAAAAAAAAGTATGTGTCCTCCTAATTATCACTTTTTAAACAGAAAGAAAGGAAACCACTTCAGCAAATGAGCATTTTTAAAAAAGTTAACCATGTTCTTCATGTCGCATCAGCAGAATACTGGCCAGGTTGCTCTAATTTTTCAACTTTATTCATACCATCTGTTCACAGGATGGGCTGCAAGGTGGTTCGGTGGTTAGCACCGTTGCCTCACAGCAAGAAGGTCGCCGGATTGTCCCAGTGAGGACACCCGGGATTTTTCTGTGTGAAGTTTGCATGTTCTCCTCGTGCAGCGTGGGTTCTCTCCGGGTTCTCCAGCTTCCTCCCACAAAGTCCAAAAACATGTTGAGGTTAATTGGTGATTCTAAATTGTCCGTAGGTGTGAATGTGAGTGTGCTTGGTTGTCTGTCTCTAAGTGTAGCCCTGTGATAGACTGGTGACCTGTCCAGGGTGTCCCCTGCCTTCACCCTAATTCGGCTGGGATAGGCTCCAGCCACCTGTGACCCTAGTGAGGATTAAGCGGTGTATAGATAATGGATGGATGTTATCAGGATGAAAAGCAGGGATGTTTTACCTACAAGATCAAGAGCTAAAACAACTGAGCAAAACAAAAATTAAATGACGACCAAAATCAAGGCTAGAAAATATATTTAGATGTCCAATGTTCTGCCTGAGCTGTAGAGTTCTGAGCACTATTAAAATTTGTGAGAAAAACACAGTAAAGTCGTTAAATTTCATAAATGACAAATTCCATGGAGGGCGGCAACTGGTGAGGTCACTGCAGATCTTTTAATACAAGATAAGAGCATTAGCTGTATCATGAGTATGTCTGCTGAGGCAAAACTGCACAAACCAAAGTATCACGGTTTTGGAGAAGAACAAGGACGTGACGCTCTGTGGTTCCCTTTTCCCTCATGACAACAGTTGGAATCAAATCACAACTAACATTTAACCTTTTAGTATTTTTGCATAACTGCATCATGCGTAACACCTTTCTGAGATTCCACTGATAGAGATGTCTCACTCTGCGGGATATCATAAGATCATGCAAAGCAGCTTGCCTCCCCATTTGAATAAAACTTGCTCTGGTTTGGTGAAGGTTTGAATACAGACAGACGCTTCCTTGTTGAAGACCAGCTG